GTCTCTGTACATGTCACCGTACATGTCACTGTACATGTCTCTGTATATGTCTGTACATATTACTGTGCATGTCTCTGTACATATTACTGTGCATGTCACTGTACATGTCACTGTACATGTCACTGTAAATGTCACTGTACATGTCACTGTACATGTCACTGTACATGTCACTGTTCATGTCACTGTACATGTCACTGTACATGTCACCGTACATGTCACCGTACATGTCTCTGTATATGTCTGTACATGTTACTGTGCATGTCACTGTACATGTCACTGTACATGTCACTGTACATGTCTCTGTACATGTCACTGTACATGTCACTGTATATGTCATCGTACATGTCACTGTTCATGTTACTGTACATGTCTCTGTACATGTCACTGTATATGTCACCGTACATGTCACTGTTCATGTCACTGTACATGTCACTGTAAATGTCTCTGTACATGTCTCTGTACATGTCACCGTACATGTCACCGTACGTGTTACCGTACGTGTCACCGTACGTGTCAATGTACATGTCACTGTACATTTCACTGTACATGTTACCGTACATGTCACTGTACATGTCACTGTACATTTCACTGTACATGTCTCTGTACATGTCACTGTACATGTCACCATACATGTCATTGTACATGTCACTGTACATGTCTCTGTACATGTCACTGTACATGTCACTGTACATGTCACTGTATATGTCATCGTACATGTCACTGTACATGTCTCTGTACATGTCACTGTACATGTCACTGTACATGTCTCTGTACATGTCTCTGTACATGTCACTGTACATGTCACCATACATGTCATTGTACATGTCACTGTACATGTCTCTGTACATGTCACTGTACATGTCACTGTATATGTCATTGTACATGTCACTGTACATGTCACCGTACATGTCACTGTACATGTCACTGTTCATGTCTCTGTACATATCACCGTACATGTCTCTGTACGTGTCACCGTACGTGTCACCATACATGTCATTGTACATGTCACTGTACATGTCTCTGTACATGTCACTGTACATGTCACCGTACATGTCATTGTACATGTCACTGTACATGTCACTGTACATGTCTCTGTACATGTCACTGTACATGTCACCGTACATGTCACCGTACATGTCATTGTACATGTCACTGTACATGTCACTGTACATGTCTCTGTACATGTCTCTGTACATGTCACTGTACATTTTAATTATCTTCCTATAAGAGCTTGATATAGGTTGATGTTTCTACACAGTTAATGAAAACTGTTTATACTCAGCAGATCATATAGTGTCTGTCCATTTTTCTGTCATTCCATTTTTGTCTGATGCGTAACTTTATCCATAGCTAAGCAAAGATCATGAAGCCTGGTGTATACATTGGTCATACTAAAGTGATGTGCAGTGTAACAATGTTAGGGCCTGCATCCCATTAATTGTAGTTGTTGCCCTTTACTAAATTCTGTATCTGGAGCATATACTTGTGGATGTTGGACTGGCTGGATTGTAATACTTAAACATGTTCTATAATCAGTGCTTGTTGGACTGGCTGGATTGTAATACTTAAACATGTTCTATAATCAGTGCTTGTTGGACTGGCTGGATTGTAATACTTAAACATGTTCTATAATCAGTGCTTGTTGGACTGGCTGGATTGTAATACTTAAACATGTTCTATAATCAGTGCTTGTTGGACTGGCTGGATTGTAATACTTAAACATGTTCTATAATCAGTGCTTGTTGGACTGGCTGGATTGTAATACTTAAACATGTTCTATAATCAGTGCTTGTTGGACTGGCTGGATTGTAATACTTAAACATGTTCTATAATCAGTGCTTGTTGGACTGGCTGGATTGTAATACTTAAACATGTTCTATAATCTGTGCCATTTGGAGAAGTCTGTTTGTGTATCATTTTATAGCGTTGTTATTGATTCTGTCTTGCCTGCTTGTTTATCATAGATTTATGAGTTATGTACACTATTATCTATATACAGTATGTAATAATTGTGGTCAAGTCTCCTAGCTTAAGGATGTGTAGGGCTATATATATGATAGGGTCACCCCTGTAGTGTTTATCATTATAATAGTGATTGATTGTAGGTCCATAATTTGCCTATGTACAGGGTACATATTGGTGTGTCCAATGTCTGTACATTTAACATCTAATCATTTAAGCAGAATGAACACTGAGCTCTTATGTTTAGATCAGTTTTAACCATAGAAATATGTACAGTAGCCTGAATGTAATATTCTGATGTTCTGTTGATTATCGTTGAAGAAGGTTGTTCACCGTCAGACCAATATACTAAAGTCAATATAGAGCTAATGTGGACTAAACATACGCTAACATAGATAAAGTCAAAACTATAGCTGAATGTACAGACTAGCTCTGAATTATAATTAGTTGTAACTATAGCTGAATGTACAGACTGGCTGTGAATTATAATTAGTTGTAACTATAGCTGAATGTACAGACTAGCTCTGAATTATAATTAGTTGTAACTATAGCTGAATGTACAGACTAGCTCTGAATTATAATTAGTTGTAACTATAGCTGAATGTACAGACTAGCTCTGAATTATAATTAGTTGTAACTATAGCTGAATGTACAGACTAGCTCTGAATTATAATTAGTTGTAACTATAGCTGAATGTACAGACTAGCTCTGAATTGTAATTAGTTGTAACTACAGCTAAATGTACAGACTAGCTCTGAATTATAATTAGTTGTAACTATAGCTGAATGTACAGACTAGCTCTGAATTATAATTAGTTGTAACTATAGCTGAATGTACAGACTAGCTCTGAATTATAATTAGTTGTAACTATAGCTGAATGTACAGACTAGCTCTGAATTATAATTAGTTGTAACTATAGCTGAATGTACAGACTAGCTCTGAATTGTAATTAGTTGTAACTACAGCTAAATGTACAGACTAGCTCTGAATTATAATTAGTTGTAACTATAGCTGAATGTACAGACTAGCTCTGAATTGTAATTAGTTGTAACTATAGCTGAATGTACAGACTAGCTCTGAATTATAATTAGTTGTAACTACAGCTAAATGTACAGACTAGCTCTGAATTATAATTAGTTGTAACTATAGCTAAATGTACAGACTAGCTCTGAATTATAATTAGTTGTAACTATAGCTGAATGTACAGACTAGCTCTGAATTGTAATTAGTTGTAACTACAGCTAAATGTACAGACTAGCTCTGAATTATAATTAGTTGTAACTATAGCTGAATGTACAGACTAGCTCTGAATTGTAATTAGTTGTAACTACAGCTAAATGTACAGACTAGCTCTGAATTATAATTAGTTGTAACTATAGCTGAATGTACAGACTAGCTCTGAATTATAATTAGTTGTAACTATAGCTGAATGTACAGACTAGCTCTGAATTATAATTAGTTGTAACTATAGCTGAATGTACAGACTAGCTCTGAATTGTAATTAGTTGTAACTATAGCTGAATTTTCGTTTTTGTTGATGATAGATGACTTAAAGATTTCAACTAAATATTCAATAAAGGCGCTCTGAAATTACCCCATCTCCTTTTACAATACATTTGTATACTGTTTAACAGTACTAGTTAAAAATCATGTTCGATCAGCCTGAGTTATACCTGTTGAGTGAAAGATACAATTTTAAACTTTATACATTCCTGTGTATGATCAGCTATATTGATCACTGATTGGTCGTTTAGTCAGATTAAATACCAGCTTTTTGTTCCATCTGTAATTATCATACTTCAGCAGTACTTCCTTGTTATTATATAATTACTTGACAGTTTTATCAGGTCAGGTATATATGTGTCTAAATTAAGTTCTGAATGAAATTCTTGAGTGTTATGTGCCAGAAGGTGTATTGGCAGCTGTGTCTGTTTATAGTTATAGATAGACAGAAGGTTTGGGTGTCAGGTGTCGTAAGCGATCTTATCTTTGTAATCTGGAATGCTGATATTATCAATGAAATCTGTCGGTTATTTGTCTGTTTTGTTTTTGTTGATGAAAAGGTATAATATAGGCATCAGAAAATGGCAGGTGTGGACAGGTAAACAGGGAGTGTTTTAGGTAGAGTTGAACAGTGAGGTAAATAAATACCTGTTGTCCTACCTTTCAGATTAGCTACTTAAATCTGGGTCAGTATTACAGGTAAAAAAGGGCTGACCTGATCTGATTATTTGTGTTAAATCTGGAGAAGATATAATTAGTGTTAGTGAGTAATCATCTATTGTCATTCTTACTTATTGTCCTGTTATGTGTGTAATACAGGCAGCAGTAATAGGCCAAATATTTACAACTCATAATCATTGTTCAGAGACAGAGTCAAGTTTGATCAGGTATATATTAAATCTGTATTCATCAGTGGGTGTACACAAGTCTCACATTGTACTGAATATAGAGCAAACAGCAGTATTTGTGACAGAATCCAATGGACTGGATAACTTACTGTGCTACATGCATGCAGACTCAAGGAGTGTCTATTGTAATTGACAGGTATCAGCCTTCCTGTTTGTAACAATGCATAGAGCCCAATATATTCTACAGGAAAAACATGTTTCCCATTTTTGACATGTATTTCTTGTATGTGAATTTAATACCAGTTCACTTTGCCACTAACAAACAGAACCCATGAAGTCATTATTTATTTTCTTACATATCAGATCTTATTATTGGTATTGATACCAAAATACAAACAAAATTTACATCTTAATTGGACAATTACCAGAATCCTAAAAATTGTATTTAATCAGAGGTTTTTGTTTTGGTGGGGAGATGTTCTTTAAAATTGTATTTTCAAAACTTTTGTGCCCTCTGATCCATGTAGACAGGTTCTGTAACCAATGTATTTGACTGGTCCCTGTTGACAGGTTCTGTAACCAGTGTATTTGACTGGTCCTTGAAGACAGGTTCTGTAACCAATGTATCTGAATGATCCCTGCAGACAAGTACTGCAGCATATGATATCATATACATTTATTTTACAGGTGTTCAAAGTGTGAAAAGTGCCTCTCTAACTGGTACTTTGAGAGGAATGGCCGACTTTACTGTAAACAAGATTACTGGACTCTATTTGGAGATGCCTGCAACAAGTGTACTGAGACAATTACAGGTCCAGTTATGGTAAGTAACATTAAGTATATATTGCCATGCTTTGTTACAATACCTCAGTCTGATTTCCTGTCTAAAGTTTTCTTTGAGAAGTACTAGTGCTAATATTGTAAATATATATATCCATACAAGTTCATAATCATAATGGTAATGTTTGTAAAATGTTATTTAACAGGAAAAGATGTCCCATCATAGATAACATCCAACAACACCTATAATTACAGTATAATAGTTTGTCACTGTTTGTCTAGTTAAATGTATTCCACATGTTGGAGATGTGTTTCCTTATCATAGTTCTGTTGATATAATGTTGTACAAAAAGTTTCTGTCCTGATTAAAGGACAGATCATTACTCTATTATACATAATTATAAAGATATTATGTATAAATGATTATAAAGCTATTATGTATACCTAATTATAAAGATATATTATGTATACATAATTATAAAGATATTATGTATACATAATTGTAAAGATATTATGCATACATTATTATAACGATATTATGTATACATGATTATAAAGATATTATGTATACATAATTAAAAAGATATTATGCATACATGATTATAAAGATATTATGTATACATGATTATAAAGATATATTATGTATACATAATGATAAAGATATTATGTTTACATAATTATAAAGATATTATGTATACATGATTATAAAGCTATTATGTATACCTGATTATAAAGATATATTATGTTTACATAATTATAAAGATATTATGTATACATGATTATAAAGCTATTATGTATACCTAATAAAAAGATATTATATATACCTAATTATAAAATCTGATAGTGATTGGTTAGAAATCATCACACACTACATATGTATTATCCAATAGATTATCCAATAATTAAAGATAAGAGAGCTTCCCATGGACTCAGCCATTTGGTACACTTTGACGTACTGTATAATTGATAGGAAAGGGCTAACCACCAGATGAATGCTTTGAAGAACACAACTCTGACAAATTCTAGCTTATAATCCTAATCTGATTAGTTTATTAAAGGGAAATCTGAATGTGACTCCTTTCCGGGCACTTCTATGTCTTAATACATAATGTAATTTTTTGTAAAGGTCTCTATCACAATCTTAATCTTATTGAAAAGGTTTCTTTTCACAAATTTTGTGGGAGAAAAACTTGTTGTGTATTAATTCTTCTTAATGAATTTGAATCACAAAATTAGCTTCTTCTCAAAAACATTTACCAATAAATGAAATTTTAAAGTGATGAATATCTGAATATATCACTAATGGGATGATAAATTTCACATAATGTGGATATATTCTTCATAAGAATTACCCTTGAAAAGAACTTTATAAAGATCTGTAAAGGTCTTCAGCATGTTTTTTTTTTTTCTGTGAACATTTTAAATGTCAGAGTTTTATATAGAAACACAATGATTTTAATTCTTAGTTCAATGCAGTCGTTGTTTTACCTATTGCCTATGCCCATATGGTAATTTGTCTTCTATTTTTGTACAGGTGGCAGGCGAGCACAAGTACCACCCAGAATGTTTTGTCTGTTTTAACTGCAATAATTTTATAGGAGATGGCGAGACTTATGCACTGGTAGAACGATCCAAGTTGTTCTGGTATGTCGTGATCAATATCTTATCTCTTGTAAATTTCCACACATTTAGACCCCAGTATATATGCTGCATGCTGTACATGTATTATATTTTGCTTAAGATATAGCTTAGTGTGGAAACTACATTATCGCAATAAAGGATACTTAACTTCACTAAAGGATAAGGATTTAGGATAGATTTAGGATAAGTTATATACCACTGCATTAAGATGTAGTATTTTTATTTAAACCATATCTGATGTAACATAAGAATTTAGGATTTGTATATTTACACTGAAGCAAGGGAATTTAGGATGCTTCCATACACAAAAGCATTAGGATTCTTACATACTATACATCACCGCATTAAGAACAAGGGTGCTTTCATACACATCAGCAACAGGATAAGGAGTGTGAAGATTTAGAATTTTTGTTTGAAATCCCATTCTTCCTGTAGGAACGATTGAATTTTGCCCAAATTTGGTCTGAAGTATTATTGGGTAAAGGGGAATCAATTTTGTTTAAATGGTAGGTCTCAGTCCCTTGGAGTTGGAGGGGAGGGGCCCAATAGGGGAAATAGAGTAAATTATTTAGATTCCTATATCTCTTGTAGGAATGAATGAACATTTCCAAAATTTAGTCTGAAGTATTCTTGGGTGTAACAGAATCAACCTTGAGTGGGAGGGGCAGGACCCAATTAAGGAAATAGAACAAATTTCTTAAAATCCTACTTCTCCTTTAGGAATGATCTGATATCACTCTAATTTGGTTAGAAGTATTCTTGGGTGAAGGGAAACCAAGTTTGTGTAAGGATTGGTTCTCATTTCCCAGGGGCCTTAGGGTCAGGGCCCAATACTGAGATTTTGTAAGGTCTTTAAAGCCTTACTCCTATAAGAATAAATGGATATTGCCCAAATTTGGTCTGAAGTATTCTTGGTTGAAGGGGACTATGTTCTGTATAAACGGAACATCTGAAGTCGGAAGCCATTTTTAGGAATAGTTAATCTGACCTCTGTTTGACCATAAAGTTGGGACCCAATAGGGAAATTATATCCAGATATTGCCCAAATTTGGTCTGAAGTATCTTGAGTGAAGGGGACTAGGTTCTGTATAAAAGATGCATCCAGGCCCCCTAGGGAGGGAGGGGTGGGCCCAATTGTGGAAATGAAAGTTATATTCCATGCAAGGATATTGTGTTATCAGAAGCAATTTTTATGAATAGTGAATCTGACCTCAGTTTGACTACATGGGTGGGACCAAATAGGGAAATTATCTCAGAAATTGTTTGTCGTATTTGAAATTCTTAATTGAATGGCTGAATAGCTAAATTAGTGAGGTGAGCAATGTATTTGAATACATATGTAGCTATTATTTTAAATCTATGATGAAATAATACTTTGATTTTCAGTGGGAAATGCTACAAAGCAGTGATGTCACCCCTAGGGGACAGTCCAGGAAGAAGGAAGACTCACTGTATACAGTTGGTAGAGCTTCCTCCCACTCCAGAGGCAGAAAATCATGGTCTACAATATTCAGTGGAGAACCGCATGTCAAGTCTGAGTCCCCGGGCGAGAGAGAGTCTGTCTGTATCACCAATGATAAAAATTACAGAGTAAGTTCTTCACAATCAGTGCCCCGGGCGAGAGAGAGTCTGTCTGTATCTCCAATGATAAAAATCACTGAGTGCGTTCTTCACAATCAGTTCCCTTGCCAGAGAGAGTCTGTCTGTATCATTAATGATCAGAATCACTGAGACAGTCCTCCATCCTTAGCCCCTGGGCCAGTCCTCCATCCTCAGCCCCTGGGCCAGTGAGAGTCTGTCTGTATCACTAATGATCAAAATCACTGAGACAGTCCTCCATCCTCAGTCCTTGGGCCAGTCCTCCATCGTCAGCCCCTGGGCCGGTCCTCCATCCTCAGCCGCTGGGCCAGTGAGAGTCTGTCTGTATCACCAATGATCAGAATCACTGAGACAGTCCTCCATCCTCAGCCCCTGGGCCAGTGAGAGTCTGTCTGTATCACCAATGATCAAAATCACTGAGACAGTCCTCCATCCTCAGTCCCTGGGCCAGTCCTCCATCCTCAGCCCCTGGGCCAGTCCTCCATCCTCAGTCCTCCATCCTCAGCCCCTGGGCCAGTGAGAGTCTGTCTGTATCACTAATGATCAAAATCACTGAGACAGTCCTCCATCCTCAGTCCTTGGGCCAGTCCTCCATCATCAGCCCCTGGGCCAGTCCTCCATCCTCAGCCGCTGGGCCAGTGAGAGTCTGTCTGTATCACCAATGATCAAAATCACTGAGACAGTCCTCCATCCTTAGCCCCTGGGCCAGTCCTCCATCCTCAGCCCCTGGGCCAGTGAGAGTCTGTCTGTATCACCAATGATCAAAATCACTGAGACAGTCCTCCATCCTCAGCCCCTGGGCCAGTGAGAGTCTGTCTGTATCACTAATGATCAAAATCACTGAGACAGTCCTCCATCCTCAGTCCTTGGGCCAGTCCTCCATCGTCAGCCCCTGGGCCAGTCCTCCATCCTCAGCCGCTGGGCCAGTGAGTGTCTGTCTGTATCACCAATGATCAAAATCACTGAGACAGTCCTCCATCCTTAGCCCCTGAGCCAGTCCTCCATCCTTAGCCCTTGGGCCAGTCCTCCATCCTCAGCCCCTGGGCCAGTGAGAGTCTGTCAGAATCACCAATGATAAATATCTCTGATCCTATGTCACTCTGTCATCCCCAGTCCCTGGGGCAGGGAAGAGTCCGTCTCTGTCACAGTAATTATTGAATAAGTCACCATGCTTCTTCAGTCTTCAGACCAAGAAGTTTGTCTTCGTTACGTTTGATGAAAAGGTCCCTGTGCCTTCCCCTACTGAGTCTGTAAAATCGTTAATGAAGTTAAATACAAAGTTATACTCCTTATTTTCTCTCCATGTCTTGATGACTTTTTGATCTGACAATGATGGGCTATTCAAATGGATATATGCTGTGGTCAGTCAGCAAATAATTCTTGTTTGATGTGTAGGTTCCTCATAGTCCCTAGTTGTGCCCTTTTAGTTTTTAGACTTGGCAGCCATTTTGGATTTTGACTATGAGAATTTGTCATCATTATACATTCTTTCCCAATTTCATACTGAGGTTCTGCCTATTTCCAAGTTATGCCCGTTTGATTTTGAGACTGATCAGGTGAAAAAATTCCAATTTTTTGCTTACCTGGTATGAAGGAATGGTAAGTTATATCACCATATCAATGTGTCCGTTCTCCTCGTTCGTTGTCTTTCATCTGGCCAAATATGGTGAAAAGCATACTTGGGAGAAGGAGAACAGATTTTGTTTAAATGTTGGTATCAACCCCATGGGGCCTGAGTGGCAGAGCCTATAAAGGGAATTTTTTTTTTAAAGTTTTGAAAAATTTGATTCTTCTTGTAGGAATTAATAGATATTGCCCAAATTTGGTCTGAAGCATCCTGAGGTGAAAGGGAATACATTTGTATAGAAAGTTGGTCTTGACCAAATGAATAAATGAATTATTACCAAATCCTAAGGATTTTTAGATGAAATGAATTTTACTTTAGTATAAACTGTGCATCTTACCCAACCTGAAGTCTACTAGGGTAGATAGATTTAAGTCTTTTAAATACTTTTCCTATTATTCTTATGCAGCAATATTAGCAAAGTAAACCAGATGAGTGATACAGTTCATATAGGCATCTTGTATAAGATTAAAAGCATAGAGAAAAAAGGGAAAATGAAGATCAAACAATGGTGGCATCTGTCTAGGATTTCTTGGTTACCTTCCAACCAGTAAGAGACAAGTCAAAGACCAATGAAAGCAATCTATTCTCAGCTTGATTGGTGGTCAGGCAGTCTGTTTGTACTGTATATGTTGACAGTAACATGGTAGTTGATTCGTCTCCAAGAGAAGCTGTTTGCATCACATATGACTAAAGACACAAATCTAGGGTAGTTTCTCATAATATCATTTTGTTATTCATAATTCCTGGAGCTGAGACTATAAAATCGGAGACTATCTCTCTAAACTTTACATTGTTTTAAATAATGTGTGTGTGGTATCTATACTTTTTATACATTGTTACATATAGAAAGCTTGAAAGTTCATTCTATTCTCACTGACTTTTCATCTTACCAGCTTAGACCAGAGCCCAGAGTTGGAGTCACTTCAAATAGGGGATCGGATTTTAGAAGTAAATGGTCTTAGTGTCCGTGACAGTTCTCTGGAGGAGGTAAGTGCCCTATATCTAGCTAGGTAGTAGATTACACTGTCAGTGTCCGTGACAGTTCTCTGGGGGAGGTAAGTGTCCTATATCTAGAGAGTAGATAACACTCTCAGTGTCCGTGACAGTTCTCTGGAGGAGGTAAGTGTCCTATATCTAGAGAGTAGATAACACTCTCAGTGTCCGTGACAGTTCTCTGGGGGAGGTAAGTGTCCTATATCTAGCTAGGTAGTAGATTACACTGTCAGTGTCCGTGACAGTTCTCTGGGGGAGGTAAGTGTCCTATATCTAGCTAGGTAGTAGATTACACTGTCAGTGTCTGTGACAGTTCTCTGGGGGAGGTAAGTGTCCTATATCTAGCTAGGTAGTAGATTACACTGTCAGTGTCCGTGACAGTTCTCTGGGGGAGGTAAGTGTCCTATATCTAGCTAGGTAGTAGATTACACTGTCAGTGTCCGTGACAGTTCTCTGGGGGAGGTAAGTGTCCTATATCTAGCTAGGTAGTAGATTACACTGTCAGTGTCCGTGACAGTTCTCTGGGGGAGGTAAGTGTCCTATATCTAGCTAGGTAGTAGATTACACTGTCAGTGTCTGTGACAGTTCTCTGGGTGGAGGTAAGTGTCCTATATCTAGCTAGGTAGTAGATTACACTGTCAGTGTCCGTGACAGTTCTCTGGGGGAGGTAAGTGTCCTATATCTAGCTAGGTAGTAGATTACACTGTCAGTGTCCGTGACAGTTCTCTGGAGGAGGTAAGTGTCCTATATCTAGAGAGTAGATAACACTCTCAGTGTCCGTGACAGTTCTCTGGAGGAGGTAAGTGTCCTATATCTAGAGAGTAGATAACACTCTCAGTGTCCGTGACAGTTCTCTGGAGGAGGTAAGTGTCCTATATCTAGAGAGTAGATAACACGCTCAGTGTCCGTGACAGTTCTCTGGAGGAGGTAAGTGTCCTATATCTAGAGAGTAGATAACACTCTCAGTGTCCGTGACAGTTCTCTGGAGGAGGTAAGTGTCCTATATCTAGCTAGTAGATAACACTCTCAGTGTCCGTGACAGTTCTCTGGAGGTCGTAAGTGTCCTATATCTAGCTAGGTAGTAGATAACACGCTCAGTGTCCGTGACAGTTCTCTTGAGGAGGTAAGTGTCCTATATCTAACCAGGTAGTAGCTAACACTCTCAGTGTCCGTGACAGTTCTCTGGAGGTCGTAAGTGTCCTATATCTAGCTAGTAGCTAACACTCTCAGTGTCTGTGACAGTTCTCTTGAGGAGGTAAGTGTCCTATATCTAGCTAGGTAGTAGCTAACACTCTCAGTGTCCGTGACAGTTCTCTGGAGGAGGTAAGTGTCCTATATCTAGCTAGGTAGTAGATAGCACTCTCAGTGTCCGTGACAGTTCTCTGGAGGAGGTAAGTGTCCTATATCTAGCTAGTAGATAACACTCTCAGTGTCCGTGACAGTTCTCTGGAGGTCGTAAGTGTCCTATATCTAGAGAGTAGATAACACTCTCAGTGTCCGTGACAGTTTTCTTGAGGAGGTAAGTGTCCTATATCTTACCAGGTAGTAGCTAACACTCTCAGTGTCCGTGACAGTTCTCTGGGGGAGGTAAATGTCCTATATCTAGCTAGTAGATAACACTCTTAGTGTCCGTGACAGTTCTCTGGAGGTCGTAAGTGTCCTATATCTAGCTAGGTAGTAGCTAACACTCTTAGTGTCCGTGACAGTTCTCTGGAGGTCGTAAGTGTCCTATATCTAAGTAGGTAGTAGATGATGCTTTCGGTGTTCGTTACAGTACATAGTAGAAGGAAAGCTTTTAAAATATTACATCTCTAGCTAGTAAGAATGGATAAAAAGAAATAATGATTGTCATGCTGAAAATCCCAGATAGAAAATATGAAAAAAAAGGAATTTACAGTAATTTTGTTTTCACTAAATGTTTCTGGCATTATTTCACTAAAGATGTTCTCCGCTGTAAACCATCTTAAACCTGTGTTTTTCCCCAAACAGATTGACTTGGTTCTGAAGCACACTAAAGATGTTCTCCGCTGTAAACCATCTTAAACCTGTGTATTTTTCCCCAAACAGATTGCCTTGGTTCTGCAGCACACTAAAGATGTTCTCCGCTGTAAACCATCTTAAACCTGTGTATTTTTCCCCAAACAGATTGCCTTGGTTTTGCATGTGTTAAATGTTCGCTAAGTACATACATATAGTTAGTGTTTCACTAAATGTTTCTGGCATTATTTCACTAAAGATGTTCTCCGCTGTAAACCATCTTAAACCTGTGTATTTTTCCCCAAACAGATTGACTCGGTTCTGAAGCACACTAAAGACGTTCTCCACCTGACCGTAGAAAGAGATCCTTCACCTCTCAGGTGTCATCCTCCTGACAACTCCACATGTTCTCTCTCCGAGAGTTCCTCCCCCTCCCCAACATCACCTACCACCCCACAGTTCATCAACGTAAATGGGGTCAATGTTCAACGACGCCCAAAGTCACGTCTTAGTGCCAAACAGTAAGTGTTATAGGAACATCAAAATTATATTTTCAAACATATATCTAGATTGTAAAAAATATTTGTCAGATTTTGCTGTACTGAATTTAAACAAATAATATTTTAGAACTTAATCTTCTGATTTAGGATGAAAAACTTCAAAAATGCAAGCAGAAATTAATAATACAAAACTTTGGGTTAAATGAAAGGTCTAAAGTTTATTTCTGAAGAAAGCTTTACTTACCACTTTTTCTTCATTCAATTGATTAACTAGGTGGAGTTGTGTAAGTGACAGTTTTAGAATATGACTAAAGGGAGATAACTCATTAATCATTTTATTATGATGATGGCTGATTTGTATTGTAGTTCAAGTCCATTCTGCTGCCTAAGATAACAATGTCAAGTTAGACGCTTTGTGAAAACCTTTAGGATAAAGGTAATAATTTATTACGTCTTGCTGTAAGGATTTCTCATTTCTGTTACAGTTTAAGTCCCTCTCGCCGTCGCAGTAAGTCACCCTCCCCTATACCTCCAAGTCGACAAAAAAGTGTTGACTTGTCACGTGCTAGCTCTCTACGACAACAGCCTCAAACCCACCGTGTATTCCGAGCATCTGACCTGATTCATGGTGAGGTGCTTGGCAAGGGCTTTTTTGGTCAGGCAGTAAAGGTCACACACAGGGTCACAGGGGAGATAATGGTGCTAAAGGAGATGTGTCGCTTTGACGAGGCGACACAGAAGTCTTTCCTAAAAGAGGTAAGATATTACATGTAAAGATTAGTACAAGTATAAATAACGTCTGAAATCTAAATAAAAGACTTTAGGAACAGAATCACATGACTTCTGAAATCTTGGAGCATCTCATTTCTGTTGAAAACAAGTTCATTTAAACATTTAAACAAGAGAAATATCCTTAACACTGTTCTTCAATGTTTTTTACTCTCTTGAGTGCAGGATTAGGAGTGGGATGTTTGTCTCTATGAGTCCCTGTTCATTTTGTATCTATTTATGTAGCTTCTTCAGTAACACATTTTTACATTTGTATCAGGTATCGGTGCTAAGAAGTCTAGACCATCCTAATGTTCTCCAGTTCCTAGGGGTGCTGTACAAAGATAAAAAACTTAACCTAGTAACAGGTATAAACATAGCAATATTTATACATTTATTGTCATGTACAGTGTAAACGTGTACATTGTTGATATATGTATACATTGTTGGTATATATACATTGTTTATGTGTGTACATTGTTGATATATGTATACATTGTTGGTATATATACATTGTTTATGTGTGTAGATTGTTTATGTGTGTACATTGTTGGTATATATACATTGTTTATGTGTGTACACTGTTGATATATGTATACATTGTTGTATATATACATTGTTTATGTGTGTACACTGTTGATATATGTATATATTGTTGGTATATATACATTGTTTATGTGTGTACACTGTTGATATATGTATACATTGTTGGTATATATACATTGTTTATGTGTGTACATTGTTTATATATGTATACATTGTTGGTATATATACATTGTTTATGTGTGTACATTGTTAATATATGTATACATTGTTGGTATATATACATTGTTTATGTGTGTACATTGTTTATGTGTATACATATATATACATTGTTTATGTGTGTACATTGTTTATGTGTGTACACTGTTGATATATGTATACATTGTTGGTATATATACATTGTTTATGTGTGTACACTGTTGATATATGTATACATTGTTGGTATATATACATTGTTTATGTGTGTACATTGTTGATTATGTATACATTGTTGGTATATATACATTGTGTGTGTACATTGTTGATATATGTATACATTGTTGGTATATATACATTGTTTATGTGTGTACATTGTTGATATATGTATACATTGTTGGTATATATACATTGTTTATGTGTGTACATTGTTGATATATGTATACATTGTTGGTATATATACATTGTTTATGTGTGTACATTGTTGATATATGTATACATTGTTGGTATATATACATTGTTTATGTGTGTACATTGTTGATATATGTATACATTGTTGGTATATATACATTGTTTATGTGTGTACATTGTTGATATATGTATACATTGTTGGTATATATACATTGTTTATGTGTGTACATTGTTGATATATGTATACATTGTTGGTATATATACATTGTTTATGTGTGTACATTGATTGTTTATATATACATTGTTTATGTGTGTACATTGTTGATATATGTATACATTGTTGGTATATATACATTGTTTATGTGTGTACACTGTTGATATATGTATACATTGTTGGTATATATACATTGTTTATGTGTGTACATTGTTGATATATGTATACATTGTTGGTATATATACATTGTTTATGTGTGTACACTGATGATATATGTATACATTGTTGGTATATATACATTGTTTATGTGTGTACATTGTTGATATATGTATACATTGTTGGTATATATACATTGTTTATGTGTGTACATTGTTGATATATGTATACATTGTTGGTATATATACATTGTTTATGTGTGTACACTGTTGATATATGTATATATTGTTGGTATATATACATTGTTTATGTGTGTACACTGTTGATATATGTATACTATTGTTTGTATATATACATTGTTTATGTGTGTACATTGTTGATATATGTATACATTGTTGGTATATATGCATTGTTTATGTGTGTACATTGTTGATATATGTATACATTGTTGGTATATATACATTGTTTATGTGTGTACACTGTTGATATATGTATACATTGTTGGTATATATACATTGTTTATGTGTGTACATTGTTGATATATGTATACATTGTTGGTATATATACATTGTTTATGTGTGTACATTGTTGATTGTATACATTGTTGGTATATATACATTGTTTATGTGTGTACACTGTTGATATATGTATATATTGTTGGTATATATACATTGTTTATGTGTGTACACTGTTGATATATGTATACTATTGTTGGTATATATACATTGTTTATGTGTGTACATTGTTGATATATGTATACATTGTTGGTATATATACATTGTTTATGTGTGTACATTGTTGATATATGTATACATTGTTGGTATATATACATTGTTTATGTGTGTACACTGTTGTTATATGTATACATTGTTGGTATATATACATTGTTTATGTGTGTACATTGTTAATATATGTATACATTGTTTGTATATATACATTGTTTATGTGTGTACACTGTTGATATATGTATACATTGTTGGTATATATACATTGTTTATGTGTGTACACTGTTGATATATGTATATATTGTTGGTATATATACATTGTTTATGTGTGTACATTGTTGATATATGTATACATTGTTGGTATATATACATTGTTTATGTGTGTACATTGTTGATATATGTATACATTGTTGGTATATATACATTGTTTATGTGTGTACATTGTTGATATATGTATACATTGTTGGTATATATACATTGTTGGTATATATACATTGTTGGTATATATACATTGTTTATGTGTGTACACTGTTGATATATGTATATATTGTTGGTATATATACATTGTTTATGTGTGTACATTGTTGATATATGTATATATTGTTGGTATATATACATTGTTTATGTGTGTACATTGTTGATATATGTATATATTGTTGGTATATATACATTGTTTATGTGTGTACATTGTTTATGACATTGTTTATGTATAATATGTACATTGTTTGATTACTTCACGGATGGACATAGAAACATTTGATAGCTTTGAATGTTTTTTTTTTAATGTAGGACGTTAATTTTCATTTATTCCATTAGCAATCAGCCCTAGAATAAGATCCAAGTTTATACATTAATTGATAGTTTGTGTATATAATAAACATAAATATTTTAGAGGTTATCTTTCTTTGTGTTTTTCATACTCAACTTTTGTGCTAAGATATGAATGCACAAACAGCTGTTTCTGTATGTGGTTTTTACAGTATCTATGTTGAATGTATAACTTCATCATTGGATTATTTACAGTACTTCATTGAAACATGCATCATTCAAATATACACTGTTGATATGTGTGATATTTACAACCTTATTTATATATCAAGGATTGTTGTTCTATAAACAAACATTGAGGTACTGTAAACTAAAACTTTATTTGGTTCAATCCAATTCTGGGGCATTATCTCTTTCTGACAAACTGATGCAGTGATTTATGTAAACACAATTATTGCATTATAAACAGCATACACAAACTGCAATTTATGAAATACTTCCAGACCAAAATGTGCCAAGATAATCACTAAATTATGTACTAACAATAGATATATATACTATATATGCCTCTGTGTTATTTAGGATATATCATTTGTTGTTTATATATAATGTTATCTACAGAGTTTATGGCTGGTGGAACTTTAAAGGAATTGCTACATGATATGACAAAGCCCTTGTCCTGGACCAGACGCATTAACATCACTAAAGACATCTCTAATGGCATGGTAAAATCAACAGGATCCTTTATAAACACAGACTAATATATATGTGGAAACATGTGGTTTGAATCAGAAGTAAAATTAAAGGGAAAAAGTTTGAATCTTAATATATTAGTGAAAATTTAGAAATATTCTGGAGATGTTAAGTATCAGTCTCTGTTACATGGAAGCATGGATGCTTTGTAAAATATTACTTGATCTAAAACAAACCTTTTGTCCGTTAAAAGTTTGGTATAATTTTGAATTTTATAACTTAGCTGGAATTGTATTCCTACAGGCCTACCTTCACAAGATGGATATCATTCACAGAGACCTCAACTCCAACAATTGTTTTGTCAAGCAGGTAAGATATGTCATATCAAGACCAAGCATTAATGTACAAGTAACAGCATAGCGTACATTTACTCAGTCTGATGGTGGAAAGTGTTGATGTCCCAGGCAGATTAAGATTACTCAATCTGATGGTGGAAAGTGTTGATGTCCCAGGCAGATTAAGAGTACTCAGTCTGATGGTGGAAAGTGTTGATGTCCCAGGCAGATTAAGAGTACTCAGTCTGATGGTGGAAAGTGTTGATGTCCCAGGCAGATTAAGAGTACTCTGTCTGATGGTGGAAAGTGTTGATGTCCCAGGCAGATTAAGAGTACTCAGTGTGATGGTGGAAAGTGTTGATGTCCCAGGCAGATTAAGAGTACTCAGTCTGATGGTGGAAAGTGTTGATGTCCCAGGCAGATTAAGAGTACTCAGTGTGATGGTGGAAAGTGTTGATGTCCCAGGCAGATTAAGAGTACTCAGTGTGATGGTGGAAAGTGTTGATGTCCCAGGCAGATTAAGAGTACTCAGTCTGATGGTGGAAAGTGTTGATGTCCCAGGCAGATTAAGAGTACTCAGTGTGATGGTGGAAAGTGTTGATGTCCCAGGCAGATTAAGAGTACTCAGTCTGATGGTGGAAAGTGTTGATGTCCCAGGCAGATTAAGAGTACTCAGTCTGATGGTGGAAAGTGTTGATGTCCTGGGCAGATTAAGAGTACTCAGTCTGATGGTGGAAAGTGTTGATGTCCCAGGCAGATTAAGAGTACTCAGTCTGATGGTGGAAAGTGTTGATGTCCCAGGCAGATTAAGAGTACTCAGTCTGATGGTGGAAAGTGTTGATGTCCTGGGCAGATTAAGAGTACTCTGTCTGATGGTGGAAAGTGTTGATGTCCCAGGCAGATTAAGAGTACTCAGTCTGATGGTGGAAAGTGTTGATGTCCCCGGCAGATTAAGAGTACTCAGTGTGATGGTGGAAAGTGTTGATGTCCCAGGCAGATTAAGAGTACTCAGTGTGATGGTGGAAAGTGTTGATGTCCCAGGCAGATTAAGAGTACTCAGTGTGATGGTGGAAAGTGTTGATGTCCCCGGCAGATTAAGAGTACTCAGTCTGATGGTGGAAAGTGTTGATGTCCCCGGCAGATTAAGAGTACTCAGTGTGATGGTGGAAAGTGTTGATGTCCCAGGCAGATTAAGAGTACTCAGTCTGATGGTGGAAAGTGTTGATGTCCTGGGCAGATTAAGAGTACTCAGTGTGATGGTGGAAAGTGTTGATGTCCCAGGCAGATTAAGAGTACTCTGTCTGATGGTGGAAAGTGTTGATGTCCCAGGCAGATTAAGAGTAGAATATACACTCAAGTGCTGGCTGACCCCTCAGACCCTCTGTAATGTTCTCCTCTCCCTCAGTGAAGGCATTGGACTTGGCAGTTTATGGAATATCTGTTATTAATCCCCACATACCTGGAATAATTTCTACCATATTTGATTTAAATCAAACAAGTGGTCTCCCCAAAAATTTATTATTAAAATTGAAAATGCACTAGGTGACCTGATTGGGTTACTGTGACTTATCCCTCTGTATCATGTTGGATCAGCATTATGCTAAGTATATATAATCATTCTGATGGTAGTCATTGTTGTGAAGATATCTTAAGGTCACTTTCAAAACTATTAGATGTGAAAGAAGATAATAACTTATGTGATTGTGACCTACTTTCTCGTTCTTTTAACATTTTTTTAACCGTTATTTTTATGACCCGATACTTTCACTCCATTATCAAAATAATGTAGTGATAGAGGCAGCCTTAATGACTTATTGGTATATCATAAACATTTTCTCTTCATTCCCAGGACTTGACGATAGTAGTGGCTGATTTTGGACTGGCAAGAGTTATTCCAGATGAGAGGTACCGACGGCCAGATACAAGTGCCACCAAACCTACTCGAAGTGTGGCCAAGAGAAGATTTCAGAGGAAGAAGAGGTACACGGTAGTGGGAAGCCCATACTGGATGGCTCCAGAAATGATGACGGGCAAGTCCTATGATGAGAAAGTCGACTTATTTTCTTTTGGGATCGTCATGTGTGAGGTGAAGATAATTATTACGTTTTATAGAACAAAAACAAAGAAAGATTGTATTGTGTGTATCAGGGATGCCAATAAAGTTTTACTATTAAGTCATTCAATCACAGACAGAGTAACCAGTGAAGTTACATGTATAGACAGAGTAACCAATGAAGTTTCATGTTGCAGACAGAGTAACCAATGAAGTTTCATGTTACAGACAGCGTGACCAATGAAGTTTCATGTTATAGACAAAGTCATCCATTAAATTTCATGTTACAGACAGAGCAAGCAATGAAGTAACATGTTACAGACAGAGTAAGCAATGAAATTTCAGGTTACAGTTGGGGTTACAGGTGATTGGTTGAGTGTTTGCTGATCCAGATTACTTGCCCAGAACTCTAGACTTTGTGTTTGGTGGTGTTACAGGTGATTGGTCGAGTGTTTGCTGATCCATATTACTTGTCGAGAACTCTAGACTTTGTGTGTTGTGGTGTTACAGGTGATTGGTCGAGTGTTTGCTGATCCATATTACTTGCCCAGAACTCTAGACTTTGTGTTTGGTGGTGTTACAGGTGATTGGTCTAGTGTTTGCTGATCCAGATTACTTGCCCAGAACTCTAGACTTTGTGTGTTGTGGTGTTACAGGTGATTGGTCGAGTGTTTGCTGATCCATATTACTTGCCCAGAACTCTAGACTTTGTGTTTGGTGGTGTTACAGGTGATTGGTCGAGTGTTTGCTGATCCAGATTACTTGCCCAGAACTCTAGACTTTGTGTGTTTGGTGGTGTTACAGGTGATTGGTCGAGTGTTTGCTGATCCAGATTACTTGTCGAGAACTCTAGACTTTGTGTGTTGTGGTGTTACAGGTGATTGGTCGAGTGTTTGCTGATCCATATTACTTGCCCAGAACTCTAGACTTTGTGTTTGGTGGTGTTACAGGTGATTGGTCGAGTGTTTGCTGATCCAGATTACTTGCCCAGAACTCTAGACTTTGTGTGTTTGGTGGTGTTACAGGTGATTGGTCGAGTGTTTGCTGATCCAGATTACTTGCCCAGAACTCTAGACTTTGTGTGTTGTGGTGTTACAGGTGACTGGTCGAGTGTTTGCTGATCCAGATTACTTGCCCAGAACTCTAGACTTTGTGTGTTTGGTGGTGTTACAGGTGATTGGTCGAGTGTTTGCTGATCCAGATTACTTGCCCAGAACTCTAGACTTTGTGTGTTGTGGTGTTACAGGTGATTGGTCGAGTGTTTGCTGATCCAGATTACTTGTCGAGAACTCTAGACTTTGTGTGTTTGGTGGTGTTACAGGTGATTGGTCGAGTGTTTGCTGATCCAGATTACTTGTCGAGAACTCTAGACTTTGTGTGTTGTGGTGTTACAGGTGATTGGTCGAGTGTTTGCTGATCCATATTACTTGCCCAGAACTCTAGACTTTGTGTTTGGTGGTGTTACAGGTGATTGGTCGAGTGTTTGCTGATCCATATTACTTGTCCAGAACTCTAGACTTTGTGTTTGGTGGTGTTACAGGTGATTGGTCGAGTGTTTGCTGATCCATATTACTTGTCCAGAACTCTAGACTTTGTGTGTTTGGTGGTGTTACAGGTGATTGGTCGAGTGTTTGCTGATCCATATTACTTGTCCAGAACTCTAGACTTTGTGTTTGGTGGTGTTACAGGTGATTGGTCGAGTGTTTGCTGATCCATATTACTTGCCCAGAACTCTAGACTTTGTGTTTGGTGGTGTTACAGGTGATTGGTCGAGTGTTTGCTGATCCATATTACTTGTCCAGAACTCTAGACTTTGTGTGTTTGGTGGTGTTACAGGTGATTGGTCGAGTGTTTGCTGATCCATATTACTTGCCCAGAACTCTAGACTTTGTGTGTTTGGTGGTGTTACAGGTGATTGGTCGAGTGTTTGCTGATCCATATTACTTGTCCAGAACTCTAGACTTTGTGTTTGGTGGTGTTACAGGTGATTGGTCGAGTGTTTGCTGATCCATATTACTTGTCCAGAACTCTAGACTTTGTGTATTTGGTGGTGTTACAGGTGATTGGTCGAGTGTTTGCTGATCCATATTACTTGTCCAGAACTCTAGACTTTGTGTTTGGTGGTGTTACAGGTGATTGGTTGAGTGTTTGCTGATCCATATTACTTGTCCAGAACTCTAGACTTTGTGTTTGGTGGTGTTACAGGTGATTGGTCGAGTGTTTGCTGATCCATATTACTTGTCCAGAACTCTAGACTTTGTGTTTGGTGGTGTTACAGGTGATTGGTTGAGTGTTTGCTGATCCATATTACTTGTCCAGAACTCTAGACTTTGTGTGTTGTGGTGTTACAGGTGATTGGTTGAGTGTTTGCTGATCCAGATTACTTGCCCAGAACTCTAGACTTTGTGTTTGGTGGTGTTACAGGTGATTGGTCGAGTGTTTGCTGATCCAGATTACTTGTCCAGAACTCTAGACTTTGTGTGTTTGGTGGTGTTACAGGTGATTGGTCGAGTGTTTGCTGATCCATATTACTTGTCCAGAACTCTAGACTTTGTGTTTGGTGGTGTTACAGGTGATTGGTTGAGTGTTTGCTGATCCATATTACTTGTTCTAGACTTTGTGTGTTTGGTGGTGTTACAGGTGATTGGTCGAGTGTTTGCTGATCCATATTACTTGTCCAGAACTCTAGACTTTGTGTTTGGTGGTGTTACAGGTGATTGGTTGAGTGTTTGCTGATCCAGATTACTTGCCCAGAACTCTAGACTTTGTGTTTGGTGGTGTTACAGGTGATTGGTCGAGTGTTTGCTGATCCATATTACTTGTCCAGAACTCTAGACTTTGTGTGTTTGGTGGTGTTACAGGTGATTGGTTGAGTGTTTGCTGATCCATATTACTTGTCCAGAACTCTAGACTTTGTGTGTTTGGTGGTGTTACAGGTGATTGGTTGAGTGTTTGCTGATCCATATTACTTGTCGAGAACTCTAGACTTTGTGTGTTTGGTGGTGTTACAGGTGATTGGTTGAGTGTTTGCTGATCCATATTACTTGCCCAGAACTCTAGACTTTGTGTTTGATGGTGTTACAGGTGATTGGTCGAGTGTTTGCTGATCCATATTACTTGTCCAGAACTCTAGACTTTGTGTATTTGGTGGTGTTACAGGTGATTGGTCGAGTGTTTGCTGATCCATATTACTTGCCCAGAACTCTAGACTTTGTGTGTTGTGGTGTTACAGGTGATTGGTCGAGTGTTTGCTGATCCAGATTACTTGCCCAGAACTCTAGACTTTGTGTGTTGTGGTGTTACAGGTGATTGGTCGAGTGTTTGCTGATCCAGATTACTTGCCCAGAACTCTAGACTTTGTGTTTGGTGGTGTTACAGGTGATTGGTTGAGTGTTTTCTGATCCAGATTACTTGCCCAGAACTCATTGTGTGTTGTGGTGTTACAGGTGATTGGTCGTGTTACAGGTGATTGGTCGACTTCCATATTACTTGCCCAGAACTCTAGACTTTGTGTGTTGGTGGTGTTACAGGTGATTGGTCGAGTGTTTGCTGATCCAGATTACTTGCCCAGAACTCTAGACTTTGTGTGTTGTGGTGTTACAGGTGATTGGTTGAGTGTTTGATTGGAACTCTAGACTTTGTGTTTGCAGGTGATTGGTCAGTGTTTGCTGATCCATATTACTTGCCCAGAACTCTAGACTTTGTGTTTGGTGGTGTTACAGGTGATTGGTCGAGTGTTTGCTGATCCATATTACTTGCCCAGAACTCTAGACTTTGTGTTTGGTGGTGTTACAGGTGATTGGTTGAGTGTTTTCTGATCCAGATTACTTGCCCAGAACTCTAGACTTTTTGTGTTGTGGTGTTACAGGTGATTGGTCGAGTGTTTGCTGATCCATATTACTTGTCCAGAACTCTAGACTTTGTGTGTTGTGGTGTTACAGGTGATTGGTCGAGTGTTTGCTGATCCATATTACTTGCCCAGAACTCTAGACTTTTTGTGTTGTGGTGTTACAGGTGATTGGTCGAGTGTTTGCTGATCCATATTACTTGCCCAGAACTCTAGACTTTGTGTGTTGTGGTGTTACAGGTGATTGGTCGAGTGTTTGCTGATCCATATTACTTGCCCAGAACTCTAGACTTTGTGTGTTGTGGTGTTACAGGTGATTGGTCGAGTGTTTGCTGATCCAGATTACTTGCCCAGAACTCTAGACTTTGTGTGTTTGGTGGTGTTACAGGTGATTGGTCGAGTGTTTGCTGATCCATATTACTTGCCCAGAACTCTAGACTTTGTGTGTTGTGGTGTTACAGGTGATTGGTTGAGTGTTTGCTGATCCAGATTACTTGCCCAGAACTCTAGACTTTGTGTTTGGTGGTGTTACAGGTGATTGGTCGAGTGTTTGCTGATCCAGATTACTTGCCCAGAACTCTAGACTTTGTGTTTTGGTGGTGTTACAGGTGATTGGTCGAGTGTTTGCTGATCCAGATTACTTGCCCAGAACTCTAGACTTCGGTCTGAATGCTGAAGCTTTCTACGAGAAGTTCTGTACAGATACAAGTTGTCCTGCAGCATTCTTCAAGGTGGCCGTCATGTGTTGTCAAATGACCCCGGATAACAGGTAAGTGATAAGGACGATGCTGATAAAGACAATGATGATGATGATGATGATGATGATGATGATGATAAAGTTGATGATGATGATGATGATGATGATGATGATGATGATGATGATGATGATGATGATGATGATGATGATGATGGTGTAATGTTTAGCTAACAGAACAGTTATGAAATATTTTTGTGTTCATGTTCAAAACTCATGAAGATCAGCTCATTTCAGCAGTTTTCTTTGCTTCTGGATCTAGTCTTGCTAATGATGTACGTATGATTTCAGACCAAGTTTTGAGATGGTGACCATGTGGTTTGATAGTCTGTCATTCCACCTGGAACATCAAGGAGCTCTACCTGCAGATCTCAAGGGTGATCCAGTACAGTTTTACTTCTCTCTCAAAGACACACTACACCCAAAGAAACTAGACAAACAAACGTCCTCTTGTCCAGATTCTACCAAACCACGTAGCCGGCGGTCAAGTCTCCACATCATCAATGAAAAGACTGTAGACCAAGTACCACACATGAAGACTCCGAATAAAACTGACAATTGTGTTAAGAGTGTGGACCAAACAGACATATGTTCAAAGTGTCAAGACCAACAGCAGAATCCAGTTAAGGGAGGTGATGATAAACCTACTAATTCTTGTCAAAAGTGTGAAAAAATATGGAAATCTCAAACAAATGGGGATAGCTGTGCTAAATGTTGTTCTTTGAAACATGAAGTTTTTGCGGACTCGCAAAAGTCTACCGCGTCTAGAAATATGTGTGATTCCAAAGTAAAGAATGAAACAATACATGATAAATCATCAACCAATCACAATCATGCAGTTGATAGCTCACAAGTGACCCAGGATTTAAAAGGTGAAACACCTGATCTTGTAGCTTCTGATTCAGTGAATGGTAGCTGCCCTAAGCTTACATCAGTGTGTAAAGAGGAGAGTAAGTCAGATATTGAAATGTCATTTGGTGCTACAAACAGTGACAGTAGAAGCTCAACACCGGAGGAACCGCATTGTAAAAAGCCTGCCAATGATTTTGTCACAAAACCCATTCCATCAGAAAATGATACAAACTTGCCAAATTGTAACACAAATGAATCATCAGAACAGGTTAGTAATGATGCCATAAATGACGCTGACTCTGCCACCTACCTTCAGAAAGTGAACCGTTCTCCATCCTTTGTCAGTTCCTGCACTATAACACTGTCTCTTCCTCGGGAGATGATGACCTCAGCCTCTGTCTGTGGAGAGGAGAGTGAGGATCATACAAACAGATCTCCCAGCCCAAACACCACTGTCTCTAACTTACATACAACTATTCCACAAGCACCACTTAGTGAAGAGGAGAGTGAGGATCATACAAACAGGAGATCTCCCAGCCCAAACACCACTGTCTCTAACTTACATACAACTATTCCACAAGCACCACTTAGTGAAGATGAAGATCCATCTGTGAAATGTGACATGAATGATTATGCCTGTGAATCCTCTTTAGGATCGTCAGCTCGAAGACATTTGTTCTCAACAACAAAGAATTCAACCGACACAAAGGACCCTGTAAATGTGTTACCACACAGCTGCTCCTCTTCTGATGAGCGAACAGCCTCGTTTTCACTTGGTGTACATCCTATAGATTCCGATGCTAGCAGCAGCTTTTACGAGAGTGGACACGCTGACGATAGTCTTTCTGATGACAGTTTGTTAGAATTTACATCTGCAGTGTAACCACATTTAAATGTATCACTGTTTACCATCAGGTCTGAGAGATGGTAGTCTGTCTGATGACACCTTATGGTACTTACCATTCTTAAATTATTGCATGATTGTCTCTCTAATGACAGCTTTGTTAGATTATACAGTTTAATTATTCTTAGATCATCAAAGCTATGATAGATCATTTGTATGATAATTATTTAATTGATGGAAAATTCTCGGAAATATATGCAGTAGTCTCCCCTTGATATATACAAAGTTTGACTGGAATTAATAGTTGTCACTTTTACCTCAAATATGAAGAAATATCTTTTAGAGGTAAGAAAGGTTTCACAATCTCTTGAGATGTAATGGTATTGTTTTGTGATTATTTAACATTTGAAATATTTGAACGTTAACTTTAATGAACTCATTGAAGAGGAATTTAATGAGTCGTCATAATATTATAATGAGTGTGAGTTAAAGAGAATTTTTATATTGTAAATATCACTTTGTTGAAGGAAGGTTTTGAAAGGGAAAAATGGATGAAAGGTCAAGTTAAGGTAACCCAGATACAGAAGGTATGAAAAGGGAAGAAATAAATGTATGTTTGTACAAGGAAGAATTTGATATGACATATGGATGTGTGAGATAATGGACCAATGAAGCGGCCTGTGATTCTTTTTGTTCATTCCGCATAATGATAAGGCAGAATGCCTTTCATTTGAATTTTTATTTGTGTCAGTGTTATACTTTACATACACAATATATAACTGGAGCAGGATTTTTTTATCACTTTTACATGTATTTGTATTTCATTGTTTTAACTGGAATCTGTTGTTTATGAATTGTTACAACTACAATGAGCTGTTTGCTTTTGTGTTTGCTTACTTGATATTTGGATTACCTATTCCATGTGCCTTGGTCAGCAGCTAAAACGTTTATGTAAAAGGGAAGATAACTTGCTTCATGGAATTGTTCCATGTGCCTTGGTCTGCAGCTAATATGTTAATGGCAAAGGGGAGATAACTTGCTTCATTTACATTAATTTTAATTTATTCTATAAATGTCTTTGGTCATGTCGTTTTTATATCTTTAACTTACCCAGTTATTCTGATGTAAAGGTTTATTTCCAGAAGAGCGACAAAGATATTGCTGCAAAATAAATTAAGATTTGACTTTGGATATCAAAGACATTTTAATGTCTAGTTATTGTTGTTGGTTATTACAAGTTTAACTATAACCTGAGAACTGATCTACATTATGTAATGTTCTGTGGTTATAGTCAGGTATGACATATGTTACTATAACCTGAGAACTGATCTACATTATGTAATGTTCTGTGGTTATAGTCAGGTATGACATATGTTACTATAACCTGAGAACTGATCTACATTATGTAATGTTCTGTGGTTATAGTCAGGTATTACATATGTTACTATAACCTGAGAACTGATCTACATTATGTAATGTTCTGTGGTTATAGTTAGGTATGACATATGTTACTATAACCTGAGAACTGATCTACATTATGTAATGTTCTGTGGTTATAGTTAGGTATGACATATGTGACTATAACTTGAGAACTGATCTACATCTAATGTTCTGTGGTTATAGTTAGGTATGACATATGTTACTATAACCTGAGAACTGATCTACATTATGTAATGTTCTGTGGTTATAGTTAGGTATTACATATGTTACTATAACCTGAGAACTGATCTACATCTAATGTTCTGTGGTTATAGTTAGGTATGACATATGTTACTATAACCTGAGAACTGATCTACATTATGTAATGTTCTGTGGTTATAGTTAGGTATTACATATGTTACTATAACCTGAGAACTGATCTACATTATGTAATGTTCTGTGGTTATAGTTAGGTATGACATATGTTACTATAACCTGAGAACTGATCTACATCTAATGTTCTGTGGTTATAGTTAGGTATTACATATGTTACTATAACCTGAGAACTGATCTACATTATGTAATGTTCTGTGGTTATAGTTAGGTATGACATATGTGACTATAACCTGAGAACTGATCTACATCTAATGTTCTGTGGTTATAGTTAGGTATGACATATGTTACTATAACCTGAGAACTGATCTACATCTAATGTTCTGTGGTTATAGTTAGGTATGACATATGTTACTATAACCTGAGAACTGATCTACATCTAATGTTCTGTGGTTATAGTTAGGTATGACATATGTGACTATAACATGAGAACTGATCTACATCTAATGTTCTGTGGTTATAGTATGACATATGTTACTATAACCCGATGTTACACAAGACATTACCAATTTACCTATGTCCTCTGGCTAGGTGTATAATCATTAAGTACGATGGTACAATGTTTGGATGTTATGGTTAGGTTTGGTGGTTAAAGTTAGGTATAACAACACTAACTACTATGTTTTATCATGGTTAGATATTACAATATATAATGATTTGTGACTATAGAGAAGTGTTACACATTTTAACTATAGCGTCCTGTTACTATAGTTAGGTATTAATATCTTAACTATACTGTTTTGTTGATGTTCTGATGATGGCTAGTATAGCTAGACGCAACATGTAAACTTTAATAAAACGTTATGATAATACCACAAATGTTGATGCTCCATCTTCTATGTAGCATTATGTGACTGTAGTTAGGTATTACCTATCTGACTATAGTGTTATGTAGCTATGGTTACGTATTACAATCTTAACTATAATGTCCTGTGACTATGGGTACATATTATATATCTGACTATACATTACAGATGTAAGTACACATTACAGATGTTAGTACACATTACAGATGTTAGTACACATAAGTACACATTACAGATGTTAGTACACATTACAGATGTTAGTACACATTACAGATGTAAGTACACATTACAGATGTTAGTACACATTACAGATGTAAGTACACATAAGTACACATTACAGATGTAAGTACACATTACAGATGTTAGTACACATTTCAGATGTAAGTACACATTTCAGATGTAAGTACACATTACAGATGTTAGTACACATTACAGATGTTAGTACACATTTCAGATGTAAGTACACATTACAGATGTTAGTACACATTACAGATGTTAGTACACATTACAGATGTAAGTACACATAAGTACACATTACAGATGTTAGTACACATTACAGATGTTAGTACACATTACAGATGTAAGTACACATTACAGATGTTAGTACACATTACAGTACACATTACAGATGTTAGTACACATTACAGATGTAAGTACACATTACAGATGTAAGTACACATTACAGAGTACACATTACAGATGTTAGTACACATTACAAATGTTAGTACGCATTACAGATGTTAGTACACATTACAGATGTAAGTACACATTACAGATGTAAGTACACATTACAGATGTTAGTACACATTACAGAGTACACATTACAGATGTTAGTACACATTACAGATGTTAGTACACATTACAGATGTTAGTACACATTACAGATGTAAGTACGCATTACAGATGTTAGTACACATTACAGATGTTAGTACACATTACAGAGTACACATTACAGATGTTAGTACACATTATAGTACACATTACAGATGTAAGTACACATTACAGATGTTAGTACACATTACAGAGTACACATTACAGATGTTAGTACACATTACAAATGTTAGTACACATTACAGATGTTAGTACACATTACAGATGTAAGTACACATTACAGATGTAAGTACACATTACAGATGTTAGTACACATTACAGAGCACACATTACAGATGTAAGTACACATTACAGATGTCAGTACACATTACAGATGTAAGTACACATAAGTACACATTACAGATGTTAGTACACATTACAGATGTTAGTACACATTACAGAGTACACATTACAGATGTTAGTACACATTACAGATGTTAGTACACATTACAGATGTTAGTACACATTACAGATGTTAGTACACATTACAGATGTTAGTACACATTACAGAGTACACATTACAGATGTTAGTACACATTACAGATGTTAGTACACATTACAGATGTTAGTACACATTACAGATGTTAGTACACATTACAGAGTACACATTACAGATGTTAGTACACATTACAGATGTTAGTACACATTACAGATTACACATTACAGATGTTAGTACACATTACAGATGTTATTACACATTACAGAGTACACATTACAGATGTTAGTACACATTACAGATGTAAGTACACATAAGTACACATTACAGATGTTAGTACACATTACAGATGTAAGTACACATAAGTACACATTACAGATGTATATAACTTAATTGTTGAGATCTAGCTATATATAATGTACTTTATCATGGCTGTGTATATATGAGCATATTAAAACAAGGAAGTAGTGACAGTATTCATCAGGGCTTACACATGCTGCTTTTTATCTAGGTTCAACAGTATGAACAGCTACAAAAATATTTCACAGTTATGTATCGATGTTAAGGAATAAATAACTCTCATTGTTATTGTCATTGTTTATTATATTTACATCAAATGTAATTCTGTTTTAAATTGGTTTATGAAGTGTCAAAAGTTGTCAAAGATAGTCGATGTATACTTAAGGTATTAATAGAAGCGTCTGTACAAGGTACATTATTGTACAGTAATAGGGATACAACTAGCGGGCTAGAGATACAGTAAATATATAGCTGGACTAACAGGACAGTGATAGGGATACAACTAGCGGGCTAGGAGATACAATATATATTTAGCTGGACTAACAGGACAGTGATAGGGATACAACTAGTGGGCTAGGAGATACAGTAAATATATAGCTGGACTATAACAGGACAGTAATAGGGATACAACTAGCAGGCTAGGAGATACAGTAAATATATAGCTGGACTAACAGGACAGTAATAGGGATACAACTAGTGGGCTAGGAGATACAGTAAATATATAGCTGGACTATAACAGGACAGTAATAGGGATACAACTAGCGGGCTAGGAGATACAGTAAATATATAGCTGGACTATAACAGGACAGTAATAGGGATACAACTAGCGGGCTAGGAGATACAGTAAATATATAGCTGGACTATAACAGGACAGTAATAGGGATACAACTAGTGGGCTAGAGATACAGTAAATATATAGCTGGACTATAACAGGACAGTAATAGGGATACAACTAGCGGGCTAGAGATACAGTAAATATATAGCTGGACTATAACAGGACAGTAATAGGGATACAACTAGCGGGCTAGAGATACAGTAAATATATAGCTGGACTATAACAGGACAGTAATAGGGATACAACTAGCGGGCTAGAGATACAGTAAATATATAGCTGGACTATAACAGGACAGTAATAGGGATACAACTAGCGGGCTAGGAGATACAGTAAATATATAGCTGGACTATAACAGGACAGTAATAGGAATACAACTAGCGGGCTAGGAGACACAGTAAATATATAGCTGGACTAACAGACTTCTGTTGATACTTTGGCAGGGATGTGATTATTACAGAGATATGTGTAGTCTAACTCGACTGGGAGATTTAGAGACGTTGTATGAAACAAGTTAAAGCTGGGGGATATTGTGGGTATGTGTGATGGTTCAGTGATTGATCTTTCTTGGCAAGAAATTTCGGGACAACGAATAAAATTCTAGCGAGGACTTTAGGAGATTTAGTGATATCCCAGCCATTCTTTGTATATTCGGAAGAATATATGTTAATCTAGTTTGCTTTTCCTTACACATATGTATGTGGAGACTTTTACTTAAAATAGGAGACTGGAAGAGGGGACGGAAACTGGAGCTAGACCAAGGACAGAGGGGTCAGGGTTGTTAATGGAAATACTTAAGTGATGTAAGTGGTGTACATGTGTGAGTAGAGATATGATGAAGTGTTTGCTAGAGGTCAGGCAGCATATTGTGTACGCGATCACACAATGAACAATGCATCGGGGTTTCTTTTTTTAAATCCTCCCGAAGATTTGGAGCATTATATTTAAAGACGTGAATTTCTTTTTTAATTCTTTACATGTTTTGTTAGTTTTACATGTTGTGTCCTGGTATCTTCTTTGTCATAATCTTTGGCTTCACGTAGAATCACTCATATTTCTTTCTGTTTTATGGTTGGCTCCATCATGGTGGTGAAAAAGTTTTTCTGTTGAAGTGTAAGATAAGTCCAAATTAGGCCTATTGCTATAAATCCTTTTTTGAAATATAGAAACAGTATTGCTGTCTGATCATATCACTTATTCACACCTGCAGTAATATTCTTCTACATTACAAGAAAATGCATGCAATAACGTGT